GCACTTCGCAAATGTTTCCACAGGCCAGCTGCCCTTTGTGGAGCCTCCTGGGAACTTTCTTTTGGTTACCGACCCTCAAGTGCATGCAAACTTTTATCTGTGGAGTCTGAGGAGGTATTTGTCACCTCCCATCCTTAAAGGAGGGCGACCCGGACCATGGCTCGAGCTTGAAAACCCATCGGCAGCTCTCAGGCTTGTCTCAAGATCTGCTCTTGTGGCCTAATCGACTTATTGATGTCCTAGGAGAGAACACACATACACTCACACATACACACACACACACACACACACATACACACACACACCACATATACACCACATACACACTTCACAAAAACCACATACACATACCACACTTACACATTACATACACACATACCACATACACACACCACACACATTCACACTTACATACATACACACACACACTACATATACCACATACACACACACCATACCCCCCCCCCACCATCCACACACACCATACATATTCACACACATTCACACACGCTCTTTCGCATGCATGTACACACTCATACACTCTCACACACACAGTGTCTCACACACAACAACACACTCACGCACAGTCCATACACACACTCGCACACCCCACACATACACATCACGTAAAGACACACATCATATACACACCACACACACACACACCACACACAGATACTCACACACACATTCACACACACTCTTTCACATACATGTACACACACACACACACACTCACGCACAGTAACACACACACACACGCTCACACACATGCTCACACACACATCTCATCTCTTCCTATTTCTCCACTAAATTTTAGAGGATGGGAAATTCTGAAATCAGTGACTTCCCGCCTGAAAGCATCACTGTATGCAGCCCTGCAGGGACACTTGGATGAGAAATTTTGCTCAGAATTTCGTGCTTCTTCCTTCGCTTTAAGCCGGGTCGGCCATCTTTCCCCCGAATGCTTTTCTTAAGGCCACCAGAGTGCTCAATTAACTTCTGACGAGTTGTTGGCTGTGTTTATGACTGGAATGTTTAGCCACACACTACGCTGAATAAAGGTCACCCTCGGGTGTCGTCTGAAGATAAAAATCTGTCAGTGGTAGAAACCTGTCACTTCAATGGAGTGGCCATGGGGCTCCTGCCAGCAGGTTTGGTTTTCACTGTTCACGCAGGGACTGTCTCATGTATGTGCGCAAGGATGTGAATGGGGGAAAAACCTGAATCCTGCCATCTGTGACACCTGGTTCCACAACACCGTGTCACAGCATAGATTTTAAAAACTAAAATTATATGGGCCAATCTTTCCTTATTTCTGGTAGCCTGCCTCTCCTCTAACATGGGCTATGACCTCACTTCTGCTCATCAAACCCGAGTTATCTGCCTTTTCTCTTTCATCTTCAGAGAAACATGGGCGGCTGTTGTTGCTGTCATCATCGTCATCATCATCATCATTATTATTATTTTGTTATTATTATTATTATTATTATAGTATTTTGGAGCAGAGCACCCTGGCTTTCTGCGGCGACTCTTGTGCCTTCCTAAATGCACTTGATTTAGCTTTCAGCGTGTAATTACTGCCAAACAAGTTAATTGCTTTCTAAGTGTCCAGAACTGTCTGGCTAAATTTGCTTTCATTTACCAACCTTCATCCCACATCAGCGGCTCAACGTAAACACAAACGATCGTTAATGACTGCCTAATGTCATATTCATTAGAGAATCAGGTTAATGACTGGCAATGACTAGCCCAGCTCCTTTATTTTCTCTTCAAGACCCTCCCCCACTGGCTTGTTGATGACACCAGCCTTTTATTTGAGAATAAATTTTACCTGTGTAGAATTTATTGTGAAGGTTCAAGGAGAGGCTGTCCTAGAGAGTTGATAGATAGTCCTAATCTCGGTGGCTTCTTTTCTCTGGTAGATACCTCCCAAGACACCGCTCTGGTGGTAGCAGACACAGACAGTCATTTGTGTATCAGTTAGACGTCAACAAAACGTTCTACTTTTTCTTGTTTTTAAAGGAAGAGTGTGTCCTGTTGGCTGCCAGGGAGCCTTTCTGTTTGGGAAGCACAGATTACAGGGATGCTGTGCACTCATGGAGATACTGTTTTCCCATCACACTCATTCTGAGCGATGCTACTCCATTGTGCCCTGGACATGAACACAGCTTGAACAAGCAATCTCCTCTGGTACCAAGAGATGGCCACCGAAGTCAATGTCAGGGCCGTGTGCTAAGGGCCCTGTCCGCCTCAGGCAAAGGCTCTTCTCGCTGGAAAACCCCAGGTGCATGGGTGGAGTGAGGGCAGAGACTGGAGGTGGAGACCCATGTTGGGCCTGGGCCTGACGTCACCTGGGTCCACTCTTTAAACAGGAGTCCATCCTTCCTGCACAGACAAGGTGGTTTCCAGGTTCTCCAAGGCAGACTTCTGGGATCTGAAGGGTGCATGTGTACCCTGTAACTCAACAGAGAGTTCATAGTCCGTGCTTGGTGATGCTGTACTGGCCCTTCACTATGTCGGGCGATCTGAAGTAACTTCTTCATCTAGCGGGCAAATGTTGCTAGTTTGGGATTCCCTCCTGGTTCTCAGCTGTGTTCTTTGGTCCTGTTTGTTGTATGTTTGTCATATACAGAACTGACACCAGGGCTACCATGTAAAAGACGTGTTTGCTCGACTTCACCTGCTTGCACCAGTGCCTGTACTTACTCTGTATTTATAATCCTCACTTTTAAGGCTCTTGGAAATCTTCTTCCTCATCCATATAGTCCCTCTAGACTCAGGAGTTTTATTTATCTATCTATCTATCTATCTATCTATTTATTTATTTATTTATTGCTGCCTTAAACCTTTGACTTCTCATGTCCTTCAGTCCTGGTTTTGGATTTCAGGAAGACCATCATTTCCTCTCGATTTTTGTTGAGCGGGAAGAAGTCTGTTTCCCAAGTCCACACCATCTACCACCGTTGACTCTGCATACACCACCTTTCTCCTCCACGACACTCAGCTTTACTGCTTTTCCCTACATGAGTCTCTGTGACCATCCCTGTTTTAAGTCCTGCTCACCCAGGGCTGGAGAGATGCTCCCTGGCTAGGAGAACTTGCCAATCTTGCCGAAGACCCAGGTTTAGTTCCCAACACCCACATCAGGCAGCTTGCAACCACCGGTGTCTCCAGTTGAGGGAAATGAGAACCCTCTTCCAGCCATGCCGGGCACTTTTATACATATGGTACAAGTACACACACTCATGCATATACACCTACCCATAAAACTAAATCAGCAAATGAGATCTTTAAATCCTTGTCACCTTGGTGGAAAGCGGAAGGGCCACCATTTTTCAGTTTCATCCCTGTATGCTTAACTTAGGGCCTATGTGTGGTGGGGGTACTCTTCACGGGTACCCAGACTGAGTTTAGTAAATGCTGGGTCAAGGGCTCTGAACAGTGTGACTAAATGAAAAACATCAAATTGAAAACAAGAAGTTAGGAAACCAACCCTGAGAGTAATCCTAGGAAGGTTTGACATTTTCTGGAAAATGTCAAGGTTTGCTCCCGCCCTGAGATCCTCAGGTTGTCTTCTCTGACTGCCCTGCGCAATCAGATTATATGCATTGCTCATTTGTTTCCCATGTCAAGTCTGCATAAAATGCAGCTCGAAATTAATGACTTGAGTGGTTCACACACACACACACACACACACACACACACACACATATATATATATATCAGTTGGGAGGGGCTCAGGATTCTATGGCAAATGCCAAAAGTGTGTGGCACAGAGTGTACCAGTTAGACTTTATTTCATCTGATTAAATCTCAGGAGTCATTTTCTCCTCTATAATATACCAGCATCAAAATATTAATATACCCAAGAGAGGCCTTATCATACAACAAAAGTATATGCTCTATGATGTTCATAGCAGCATTGTTTGTGATAGCCAGAACCTGGAAACAACCTAGATGCCCTTCAATGGAAGAATGGATGAAGAAAGTATGGAATATATACATATTAGAGTACTACTCAGCAGTAAAAAACAAGGGCTTCTTGAATTTTGCATGCAAATGGATGGAAATAGAAAACACTATCCTGAGTGAGGTAAGCCAGACCCAAAAAGAGGAACATGGGATGTACTCACTCATATTTGGTTTCTAGCCATAAACCAAGGACATTGAGCCTATAATTAGTGATCCTAGAGAAGCTAAATAAGGAGAACCCAAAGAAAAACATATAGGCATCCTCCTGAATATTAACCTTCAGCAGGCGATGAAAGGAGACAGAGACAGAGACCCACACTGGAGCACTGGACATAAATCTCAAGGTCCAAATCAGGAGCAGAAGGAGAGAGAGCACGAGCGAGGAACTCAGGACCGCAAGGGGTGCACCCACACACTGAGACAATGGGGATGTTCTACTGGGAACTCACCAAGGCCAGCTGGCCTGGTGAAAAGCCTGGGATAAAACCGGACTCTCTGAACATAGCGGACAAAGAGGACTACTGAGATCTCAAGAACAATGGCAATGGGTTTCTGATCCTACTGCACGCACTGGCTTTCTGGGAGCCTAGGCAGTTTGGATGCTCAACTTACTAAACCTGGATGGAGGTGGGGGTTCCTTGGACTTCCCACAGGACAGGAAACCCTGATTGCTTTTCGGGCTGAGGAGGGGAGGGGCTTAATTGGGAGAGGGGGAGGGAAATGGGAGGCGGTGGCGGGGAAGAGACAGAAATCTTTAATAAATAAATAAATTTAAAAAAAAGAACAAAATATTAAATTCGTTCATGAGGTTCTTTTAAGCTTCCTGTATTTGATGTGACTTCCTCTGGACTCCTAAGGGTGGCAACCGCATTTGGAGTTTGACATGGTTCCCATGGAAACCGGGCTAGTGTTCTGTGGGTTATCAGGTACTCACGGCATGAACAGCCATTCGAATCAATTAGCTTCTGAGCCGCCCCAAACTCATGTCTGAAGTGACGCTTAATGCCTTGTTCCCTCTCTTCCAGAAGTCCTTTTGCTATATTCCCATCGTGAGCAGTGTGACCCTGTGGAAGAGAGGCTCATCCCATACAAGCGTGAGTAAACAGAATCCAGCTGTTGGGAACCGCATCTCTAGTGTCCTGTCTTTGTGTTCCCTAGCTCAACACACGGCATTTATTCCTTCGTACTTATTTTGGCAATTATAACTGTTAATTATTTGTGTTTTAAATTCCTAAATAAGAACGTTGAAAGGTATTTCCTACAGAACCTTGAGTGTGTCTGAGAATCGTGTGAGCTCTTTGCTCTTTTGAGCACACAGATAATGCACACTAAGGAAAGACTCATTTGGTTAGCAAGACTAGAAAGCACGTTCTCGATGCCTTTTTAGTGCCTGCGTGTGTCACAGTTTAGAGGGTCTAGAGGATATACCAACACTGGAACATATCTCTCTCAGCAGGCTGCTTTTACTCCATGGTTGCTAATGGCCCATTCATGGAAGGGCAAAGTGAATATCTGTCTCTATGTGAGATATTCACATCCTACAGATGTGAATCTCTGCCTCGCTAAGGGTGTATACAGAGAGGGTCACCGTGGCTAGCAGGCTGGTCCCATTGTCATGGAGCCCTGGTGGCATCCCAGAGTTAGCTATACCTAAGCTTTGTCTACAAAAGCATGACTGAGAAGGAGGAGATTTTGTACTGAAATATACAGTGTAATATCTCTCCATGTCTCCGCGTCCTTCCTGTTTGCCATGAGGGAAATTACAACGTCTTCTAAAAAGGAGTCCAGAGGCCAGACACACCAATGTACTCAGTAGGTCCCAGGCAGGTGAATGAGGCTTCAGGGTGATTCTAAGATCGGTTTACCTTCTAGTCTCGCCTTTCCAAAATTTAGTAGTTTCGGGCTTGTCAGGGCTACATGGTGAGACCCTTTCTCAAACGAACAAACAAGCAACACACTTACCATCAACAACCAATGGGACAAAGAAAAATTTGGAAGTAATAAAGAAGAATGAAATCAAGCAACAAAACCTCCATCACAGTTTGCCCTGAGTTGGTGCTTTCTCCAAAGTAGGGTGCCGTGACTGGAAATAGAATTCTAGGAGTAACCAGAGGTGAAAACTCACATGGGAAGATTATAAAGAACGGGGCCAGCATTGAGAAGATGGAAACATGGCCTACTTAAAACCCACAAGCAAAACCATGACCTGATTTTATTCCAGTTCTTTCTGCTCTGGGGCAGAGGGCTGAGTCTACAGCAAACACCAACAGTTTTCTGTGTCAAGTCATTGGCCTCCTAAGACTCCACTCAGCCAATGGAGTCTGTGACTCACAGGAGGGTTTGTAGGGAAGGGAAGGAACATTAACAGAATCCCCTTACAGAGGCCATTCCATTAGTGTGCTAAGACCTCAGAAAGCGGAACTTCTTAAAGGGGGGTCACACGTCCCTCTGCTGGGAGAGGTGTGTTCCAGGTGGCAGTCCTGCATTGTCTGTACAGATACAGTGACATGAGGCCTGCTGACAAGGGGACTCCTGGGCACCCCTCTTTTCCTCTGATTTCAGCAGGGTGTGGTGGGTAGAAGTCCTGTCTGAGCTCTGGATCTTGTGTGTTCTGGGTTCTCAGTTGGATGGGCCCATTCCTTCTTTCCTCTCTGTATTTGTGTGGTTTTGTGCACTGGAGGAATTACAGAGACAGTAGGAAAAACTTTTATGATGTTTTTCTTTAAAACACTTCTATGTTGCCATACTTTATACTTACACTCTATGCCAACTCTCTTATACTCTCTTCCCTATTCTTCACATCTGTGGTATTCTGTATTGTATATCAAATGCTGTATAGCATATAGCACTTATAAAATAACACATGTCATATATAGGACACTATCATAGGTCACACAATAACATATGTCATATATGGGACATTATGATAGGTCACACAATAACATATGCCATATATGGGACACTATCATAGGTGACAGACATATCAGGTGCTCTCTGTCTGACCAGCATCAGAATGTGGGTGTTTCATTATATCACACTTCTTATATTGTGTTCACTGAGCACCAGAAGATAATCAAATGGCTGTTATAAAAGCAACAGTAAAGAAAAAGAAAATTTTCCTTCTTAGGAAATCTGTTTCTGAATTCAATACAGATGTTATAACATGATAAGCAAAAAATTAAAAAAAATACACTTTTCAATTAAAATTAAACATTTTCTGTTGCTCCCAAAGAGTCTGTCACACTCAGTAACCATGACCGAGTTTTGATAAAATGTCAAATGCCAGCAACTATTACGGAGAGAAAGAGAAAGCTATGTAGCTCATCCTTTGGAGCTAGCGATACTTTACAAAGGAAACAGATTGTAGATCATAATAATTTATAGAAGATATTAAATGGGGTGCTAGTAAATTCAAATTCAGTCTATAAAATGAAAACACATCTTAAATAGTTAGGATTAATTATAATGATACAGAGTAGGTTAATATAAAAACAAATGTGTAAAATACATACTAATAAACCAAATGAACAAAAACATTCCCATTCCCATGGACATTTACACTAATTCATTGGAGGAAAACTAAAACTGTTTAGAAAACTAGGGTTAGATGAGAACTTCTTATTTAAAATTTTTTTTGTACAATATATCTTGAACATAACCTCCTCCTCTCCCAACTCCTCCCAGATCGTCCCTACTCCCTACCCAACTTCATGTTCTCTCTCTCTCTCTCTCTCTCTCTCTCTCTCTCTCTCTCAACCAAACCAAACCGAAAAAGCAAAAGCTAATAAGACAAAAAGCCCAATACAACCCCCATCAGATGAAGAAGAAAGACCACACACACCACTCCCACCGCTGCCACTATCAACAGCTACTACGACAATTATAATCTAAAAAAGCCATGGAGTTCATTTTGTGTTGGCCAATTACTCCTGGGCATCAAGCCTGATCTGGGTTGTGGTTGATATAACCAGTGACATCCAGTGGAGAACATGTCCCTTTCCCAGCAGGCGTCCATGATACATAACTTCTTGGTTATGGGTAGGACTTTGTGTCGCTTCCTCTTCTGACTCCTAGAATTTAGTCTGGTTGAACCAGCACAAGACCTTTTTCATGCTGTGAGTTCATATGCGTATCAGCCCTGTGGTGTCTGGAAAGATGCTGTTTCCTTGGAGTCACCTCCCCCCCCCCCCCCCATCTCTGACTCTTACAGAGATGTAGAGAAACAGAAACTTCACACGCTGCAGAATCACGTGGGAGAACATTTAACAGTTTAACACAGTTGCAGACTCAAAGAGCTGTAACCCACCCGTCTTCACCAGCATGGAATTAATAGTTGGTGAAGACGCAAGGACTGACTTTTGGAGGTGTGAGTTTTGCAATGAGTGGGACTCTAAAAGGACAGGTCCATCAGCAGGAGAATGGCCCAGTTCATTGTGGCAAACTTAAACAATGTTGCAGCTGGTTTATACTGGACACTACACACAACATCAAGGATGACCTGAATGACATAATACGGAATGAATCAGGTCAGGGAATCAGGTGTGTGTTGTTTAATAGGATAGCTGTGTCCGTGGAGGGGATACGTTTATACACTCTGATGTTTTCTTTCTGGTTGAAAGCTATCTGAGATGTAGGCAAAGCAAACAGATGGTGGTAAAAATACATTCTGGGTCAAAGCTGGATCGAAGGACTTAGTGATGTTTCCAAAAACATAAAAGCATCGTATTCTGCTTCCAGTCTCCAAAAGGGTCCAGTTTCACTAACATTTTCACCATAGCTACACAGGCTAGTAGTCACTCTTCTCTTGGCCTCCATGGCTCTATTCAGCCTTCCATGCACACTTCCCTCTTGGACCCTACTTGTCCCGTCTACCTGAAATGAGCATACCTGGAATGTTTGGTTGATGTTTTTCTCAGGGGTCAGTTCCACTTGTTGAGGGCCAGTCGAGCTGGTCCGTGGGACATCCAGGGGTGAAACGTTCCTGTGCAAATCCACTGAGAATGGCTCATCAGTCAGTAGGCGTCAAAGGATTAGAACAACACTATTGAAATCTTAATTACAAATACCCTTGCAGTGATAAAAATATTGAGTGTCCATATTCAACCTGCTTATGTTTATCTCTGTCTCATGACACTTAATATGATATCACAAGTTATATTAATGTGTTTATAAATTGTAAATATATCACAGTCTACATATTTCACTGAATTTAAAACATATAAATAAGTGAGAGCCGAAGAGGACATATTGCTTCATATCTATTCATATTGTTTTCATAATTTCTTTGATGGTGCTGTAGATCAAATGCTTGCTGGTCAGATATTCTGCCATTGATTTTATAGAATTTTGAACTGAAAGGAATGAATGTGTGTGTGAATAACTTAAACCAAGCATACATGAAAATGCTGTAAGGATGTTGCTGTGGGAGAATGCTCTTGTACCCTGTAAAGATTTGTCACTCATATTAATTTAATAAAATGCTGATTGGCCAGTAGCAAGGCAGAAAGTATAGGTGGGGCAATCAGACTAGGAGGATTCTGGGAAGAGGAAAGACAATGCGCAGTCATCATCCAGATGCAGAAGAAGCAAAATGAGAATGCCTTACTGAGAAAATGTACCAAGCCACGGGACTAAACATAGATAAGAATTATGAGTTAATTTAAGTTGTAAGAGCTAGTTAAAAATAAACCCGAGCTAATAGACCAAAGAGTTTATAATTAATATAAGCCTCTGTGTGTTTCTTTGTGACTGAAAATAAAATAACATCTATAGATGGAAGTTGGGACAGAAACTTTCATCTATAGATGTTATTTTATTTTATTTTTTTGGTTTTCCAAGACATGGATTCTCGGTAGCTTTGGAGCCTGTCCTGGAACTAGCTCTTGTAGACCAGTCTGGCCTTGAATTCACAGGGATTAGCCTGCCCAAGTCCTGGGATTAAAGACCACAACCACCTGGCTCAGACATCATCTTATGTGCTAATAGAAAATAAATATATTTGAAAAATGTTCTGTAATCTTAAGAAAAAAGAAACGTGTAGTTAGAGAGATGGCCCAGTGGTTGAGAGCAGTTACTGCTCTTGCAAAGGACATGG